AAACATTTTGTTAGTAAATTAATATCTAAAAGCTAAATTATTTATTAAAATAAAAAATAAAGATTGACTTCTTTTACATAGTCGACTTATATTTTGGTTCGTTGATTTTTAACTTTTTTGATTTATTTATACATTTGATTTATTTTTTTATGTTCGTCGACTTAATATTCAGATTCGTCGACTTATTTTAAATTGTTGACTTATATTTTGTTTGATTGATTTTTTACTTTGTCTACTTGTTTAACCATTGACTTATTTTATTTTTTTTGTCGACTTAATATTCAACTTCATCGACTTATTTTAAACTGTTGACATATATTATCGTTTGATTGATTTTTTACTTTGTCGACTTATTTAACCATTGACTTAATTTTCACTTTTGTCGACTTAATTTTCAGTTTTGTCGACTTATTTTAAATTGTTGACTTATATTTCGTTTGCTTGACATTTTAAGTTATCGACTTATTTAAACCACTGACTTATTTTTGTTAATTCGTTGACTTAAAATTTTGTTTCATCGATTTATTTTAAACCATCGATTTATATTTTGATTGATTGACTTTTTACCTTGTCGACTTATTTAAACCATTGATTTAATTTTTTGTTTGACATATTATTATATAAATTAATTAAATTGTAAATTGTAAATTGTAAAATTAATTAAAATCAATTCCTTAGATATTTTATCAAGAAATTTTTTTATTAGATTATTAGATTATCAATAGATGGTTATATATTAGTTTTAAATATTATAAATCAATTTTTAAATAAAAAGTAGAAAAATTAAATTATTTTCTTTTCTAACTTAATCTTGTTAAATAAAGATATAATTATCATTTCAACTTTTAAAATATGGTATTTTTCAAAGTGTAACAAATCATGAATATATCTCTCTAGCCTATGTAATCTTGTTAAGTTTGAATGAATATAGCCACTACATTTAAGGATTATCAGAGTCGTTCTTACTTTATATTTTTACCATGTTGTATTCACTTCTCCATGCATTTAATAAAAGAAGTTTAAAAAAAAAAAACCGAATTATCTTTCTCAAGAAAAAGAAAAAAAGCGTATGTTATCCTTTGATATGGTATAGTTTCTTGCTCCTAATATGTTGCAATACCATTAAAATGAATAAACCTTTCTCTTGTTCTTTACTATAAAAGAAAAAACATTACAACGTTGTTAAGACCTCTACGGCCTTTGATTGTTTTCATTCCAACCCATTTTGACACTTTATTTTGCTTGCTCTTTGGCCTTGGCTTGTTTTCATTACAAACGGCGAAAAAAATATTTGAAAATGTAACATAAGAAACTGATGAAACAAAAGATGGGAATGTTACGTACGTTTCACTTAGCCCATCCACAAGACACACCTGATGGATTTCCCTTCAAGTAGTAGTTGAACTGCATCGTTAATGTCCTCGAATTTCATCTCGTGCGTCACAAACTTATCCAACTCAAGCTCATTGCTCAAGTAACGTTTCAGAAGAAGAGGAATGTGTGTTTTAGCTTTCAAACCTCCAAACAACGAACCCATCAGTATCTTCCCGTGGTGAAGAACATCGAACGAGTCCAAACATATCTGTGAACCTGGCTTGTCCACCCCTAAAGTTATCGTCTTTCCCCATCCCTAAACGTTGGATCACACCAAAACAAAAAAAAGGGTTTAAAAACCATTCGAATCTTCTTTCGACTTATTAGATGCATTTCTAAATCCAATTCTACCACACCTGTCTGCAACAAGCATAAGCTTCTTGAACCAAAGCACTACTTCCGACACATTCGAAGCAATAGTCTGCTCCACCACCAGTCATTTCATTGATCACCTTGAACACAAAAGAGTACATTTTAGATGTTTATCTATTTTCACTGAGATTATACTGCTATATTCCATTACCTCGCTCACGCGCTTGTTTCCACATGTCATAGAGTTTACAAACTCAGTTACTCCAAACTTCTGGCCTACATTAATAAGATGAACCAGAGATCCTTTTTTTTTTGTCGAAAAACCAGAGATCTAAAGCAAGATAAACTATAGAGTAAAGAGAATCATGACACTAACTTTCAACAAACAAAAAATCATGACACTAACCAACTTGGAATTTGTCCGGATTTATATCAACACCAATGACTCGAGAGGCACCACAGAGTCTCGACCCTTCTGCAACCTGAAAGCGTCCAAAACCATAACACATTTTAGTAACTCAAGAATCAAGAACTACAAAGAAATTTAGGATTATACCGCTAATCCGATAGAACCAAGTCCAAAGATCACAACAGTTGATCCTTGTTCCACTTTAGCTGTCTCCCAAGCAGCACCAACACCTAAAAGCAAAATCAAATGCATTTCATTAGAAGTCAAAGAGGTATCGAAAAATGTTTCTTTTTTCGATTTTACCAGTGGAGACTCCGCAGCTGAGGAGACAAGCACGGCTTGGTGAAACAGAGGAATCGATCTTAACAACGTTTGCTACATCGACCACAGTGTATTCACTGAAGCTGGAAACGTTTAAGAAATGGAAGAGAGTGTTGCCATTGAGGTCAGTGAATCTGCTTGAGTTCTCGTATCTCGGCATCCATGGCGATACCTGGAAAGGGAATTTGCTGCAGAGGTTGCTTCTGTGTGATTTGCAGTCAACACAGTCCCCGCAATCCGACATGAACGTCGGTAGTACGGTGTCTCCTTCTACCACTTCAGTCACGTTTTCACCGACACTCTCCACTACTCTGTTCACATAAACATTTCAGATTTAATCGACATTTCATTATTTTAAATGTAAAGGTTCATTCTTTAAACTCATTGAAACATAACATTGGATAATTTTGCGAGTTTGTGCATT